GAAGCACCTCAGTCTCTGGGGCAGACGAGGCACGGAAGCGTTTCCAGAGCCCGGGGAGGGACAGGAGAGGGGAGAGAGGGTTTGAGCTTGTTAGAAGCTGGGAAGCTTTTGGAATAAATAAAGGCCAAGCAGTAAGAATGGACTCTGTCTAAATCCAGCTGGAATCCCAGTTTTGGCTCTTCAGAAAAGGTTGTTAAAGTTTGTGGAACGGGGAGAAACTCGATAGGTCTGGAAGGACGTGCAGCTCGGGATGGTGTGAGCTGGGGAAAGGGGATCATCACATCCTTCCTTCTTGGGAGGCTGGGCTGGAAGTTCCTGAAGTTCAGAAGGGAACTGCAAAGAGGAAAACTCCACAGTAAAGCCCCATCCAAGCAGAATGTGTGGAACTGAGCACCTGGAGGGAGACCTGGAGCAAGAAAGGAGAGTGTGAACTCTTGGAGCTGTCGTGGCTGTTTGGAATGGATTGGTGACGTTGTGGGTGTCCCCAGAACCTACTGAGAGCACGGGGTGGGGAGAGCACAACTCCCAGGGGTGTCAGAGGGTGAGTGCCAGGTGAGGTGAGTGCCCTGCAGCCTGGAAAGCAGCAGCACTGGGACGAGGTGCCTGAATGGAAGGGTGAGGTGATGGGTCAGGACCTGGGGTATGAAGGCTGCAGGAACAGAACGTGCTGGAACAAGGAGAGGTTTCATTTCTCCCCTGTGCACAGAGAAGCACCACACACGGATTTTTAGGAGTGGTGGATGCCTTTTGCATGGAGCAATGAGCCAGAAGAAGGAGAAATGAGTGTCCATGTCCCCTTGGGGGCTCTGAGAAATGTGATGCTGTAAATCCCTGTGTATGGTAACCATAATGCCCTGACCTTTAATGTCCTCTGAGCAGCAAAGAGCACAGAAACAGCATCACCAGGGGCTTGGGGTGGTTTTGGAGCTCTTAGGACTGGAACTACATAAATACAAGGAGCCTGGTTGGGAAGTGAATGGTGCTGGGAAAGGGGACAAAGCTTCCAGCTGGCCTGGGAGTGTTTTAGTGGCTCATGGTGGGTGAAGAGCTTGGGTTGCAAAGATTGAAAAAGACCCTGATGTAGAAGCCTGGTTTGATTAGAAACAACCCTTTGAAGGTAAAAGTACATCCTCACAAGAGGAATCAGTCATGAGATGGTTTGGGTGGGAAGAACCTTAAAGCCCATCCAGTGCCACCCCTGCCATGGGCAGGGACACCTTCCACTGTCTCACCTTGCTCCAACCTGGCCTTGGACACTTGCAGGGATCCAGGGGCAGCCACAGCTCCTCTGGGCATCCTGTGCCAGGGCCTGCCCACCCTCCCAGGGAAGAACATCTTCAGTGAGAAGTGCCCCAAGGGGAGGTTTCCCGGGGAGCTCCCTCTGGAGCTGCAGTGTCTGCTCTGTGTTCCAGGTACCCCAACACGGCCTGCGAGCTGCTCACCTCGGACGTGCAGCAGATCAACGACAAGCTGGGCGGGGACGAGACTCTGCTCAACATCCTCTACGACTTCCTGGATCACGAGCCCCCCCTGAACCCTTTGCTTGCCAGCTTCTTCAGTAAGACCATCGGGAACCTCATTGCCCGGAAAACGGAGCAGGTAGCGCTGGGCTCTGTCCTGCGGGGCACAGGGGATCTCCTGGCAGGGCTGGGCTGCCCTGGGAGCTCGGGATGGTCTCACAGGCGGTTTAGAGGTTGGAGTTGGAATGTAGGCTCCCAAAAGTTCTTGGAATTCCTCACTGGAGGGAGGTGCTGGCTTAGGCAGACACCTTCCCCGAGCTTTGGGGTCGGGGTACTCCCGTGCCACAGCCGAAGGGTTATTTTTCATACTAAGGCATATTGAGGCACCCTTGGGTCATCAGAGCCTCAGTCTCATCCCTATAAAAGGGGTGCTGGAAGCATGGGCTGAGCAGGCATTTGGGAACGTGCACATCCCAGTTAAACACTGGGTTTTAAAATGAAGGCTGTCATAGACTGCGAGAAAAGGACAATTCTCCAGCTCCACTTGATGCTCTTACTCTGTGGCCTTGGGCTTCCTTGGGGTGCAGAGGAGACAAAAGCTGGCTAAAAAGATTTTACTTAGTCCTGCCATGAGATAAGAACGTTATTGTCCCGTTCTCTGGAGAGTCCCCAACCTCGTTACCGTTGGGATCAGGGTCGGGGCGAGGAGGTGAACCCAGGGAGATGTGTGTGGTGCTGGCAGCTGACGGGGGCTCCTTTCCTTCCAGGTGATTGCCTTTCTAAGGAAAAAGGACAAATTCATCAGCCTGGTGCTAAAGCACATTGACACATCAGCCATGATGGACCTGCTGCTGCGGCTCATCAGCTGCGTGGAGCCCGCGGCGCTGCGGCACGACGTGCTCAACGTGAGCCGGGGCTGGCACTGCCCCATGGGCATGGCCATGGGCATGGGCATGGGCTGGCACTGCCT